CCTGGTGAGGATACCCAGGAGCTGGAGTTTGCATGTTCTTCCCGTGCAGCGTGGGTTCTCTCCGGGTTCTCCGGCTTCCTCCCACACAGTCCAAGAACATATTGAGGTTAATTAGTGATTCTAAATTGTCTGTAGGTGTGAATGTGAGTGTGCTTGGTTGTCTGTCTCTAAGTGTCGCCCTGTGATAGACTTGCGACCTGTTCAGGGTGTCTCCTGCCTTCACCCAAAGTCAGCTGGGATAGACTCCAGCCCCCGCGACCCTTGTGAGGATTAAGCGGTGTATAGATAATGGATGGATTTTCTCACATTATTCTTTTTATTGCTGAGTAAGCACCTACAAAACATTTTCTGTATAGGTCAAAGCTTAAATCCATCCTTCCATTATCTGTACACCGCTTAATCCTCACTAGGGTCGTGGGGGGGCTGGAGCCTATCCCAGTTGACTTAGGGCGAAGGCAGGAGACACCCTGGACAGGTAAAGTCAGTTTAATTTAGAGCTATTGAGATACCGATCAGCCACAACATTAAGGCCACAGATAGCTCAAGCGAAAGGCATTGCTGATTTTGTTACAATGCGATGTTATGCAGGGAAACCTTGAGTGTTGGCGTTCATGTGGATGTTACAAATGTTACAGACCAATCCCTGCCTCTCATGGCAACAGCATCAAACCACAAAAACTGTCCAGGGACAGTTTGAGCAACATGACAAATAGCCCAGTCTCCAAACACCTCAGATCCCAATCCAACTGAGTATTTGTGGGATGCACCAGAACAAGCCCGTTCCATAGAGACCCCAACTTACTACCTACAGGGCCCAAAGGATCTGCTGCCAGTGTCCAGGTACCACACACAAGAGGACACCTGCAGGAGCCTGTGTCCATGGCCCAATGAGTCAGAGGTGCTTTGGCATCACGAGGGACTTACATAATACCAGGCCGGTGGTTTTAATGCCATGGTAATACTTGAATTTGCACAAAATGAAAGCTTCATGTAGTCATTATCAGTTTGTAAGTCGTATCCACCCTTAAAAAAACACCTAGATGCCTGGTTTTTATTAAACTGGTAAATGCGTGACCAGCAGTCACATCCTGACTCATCACTGCACAGCTTACTTAGCCAGTTTAATCTGCTTGGAGTACTTCTAGTATGACAGTGCACTCATCTTCAGGGTGTGAGTGGTCATCAATTGGTATAAGTATAAAAGCCACATCCCTAATGCACCTCAGAACATGATTGGGCCTGCCAACCAGGCTCTTTTCTGGAAGGATTGCTCCCTCCATGGCCAATGGCTGCGTGTCACCGCAAAGGGTATGGTGGAAATGGATGGACTGGAAATTGTAACTGCATATATCCTTATAGATTATATAACAGAAGAATAAACAGAGATTGTCTCCATATGAGCAAGGGGCTGATTGGCATCTACAATATATGAGCTTTAAGTGGAAAACAGAGTAGAGGAAACTTTATTGTCTCATGAGGGAAACTTTTCTTGGGCACAGTGCTATGCTCTATTGGTTATAGGCATGAAAGAAACATCATAAAAACACAAGGTGACACATAACTGTACAAAAAATACACATAAAACAAGAA